CGTCTTCCGGGTCTCCCACATGGGTGCAGGGTCCCAAGGGCTTTGGCCATCCTCAATAGTTTCCCATCCAAGAAGCAGGGAGCTAGATGGGAAGCAGGGCCATCGGGATTAGAACCGGTGCCCATATGGGTTCCTAGTCTGTTCAAGGCAAGGACTTTAGCTGCTAGGCTACTGCGTTGGGCCCCATATTCCTTTAATCTTAAAGACACTAAAATATATTATTATGCAAATGCAGTCATTTTCAATTCTGGGCTTGACCTGATTAATTACTAAGTGTCCAGAAAGAAATGGGATTTTGCTAAAAGTTGAAAACTAACCCATCTGCAATTATAATATAACCTGTCAAGGATCAACAAGAAATGGAGCTAAATGACAATTCATTATTGAACAGTATACTAAGAATTATTCTATTTTTAAAAATCCTATGCTTGCAAGAGTACAAAGATTTACTGATTATGTTTTTATATATTCTTAATATAAATGTGAAAAAAATAGGTTAAAGTTTTATGCGAAGGTGCCAATTAGTACAATAAATTTCCTTAACACAAAATGCAGTGATCTTGATGGTGTTTACTCAGGAAAGGAAGAATTTAAACAAAAGCAGAATTATTTGAGTGTAAAATTAGACTTAGCCTTCCCTTTTCACAGATGTGCACTTGCACTTAGATGGCCGAGTGCACTTTCAGACGTCCTGCAGGTGGGTGTAATTGATCTCTTGGATGCTGGTACCCGCCCAAACCCGAAGCCTGAGAATTGAACCATCTGATTCAGAATTAGTGACACTTCTGCTAATGATAATACGTTTCAGTGTAAATTGTCCTACAGAATATTCAATAACCTTGACCTTGGATTTTTGCGCCCTCAAACGTGATAAACCACTTTCTCCAAATGATATGAGCAAGACATTGGATAACAGACATGAGTGAGAATGGATCAAAAAATTTTATAGATCACAATATTCTCAAAAATGTTATTGAATTACCTACCAATGATTAGTTTATGCTGTTAAACAGATTTTTCAGGAAGATCACTCATTCCACCTGCCTAAATATTATGCTGTTTTAATTTTTTCCGTATTTTCCCAGTCTCCTCATAACCATACTGCATTCCTGTAACTATTTCATACATATGACTTGGATTCTGGCGTAGAGAGCAGGTATTGCCCCTCACATTATATAGCAAACATAATTCCTTCATTAATATATCTTTGTACTGAAGATATGAAACTGGAGGGTATAAATTGTCATTTGAATGAGATTATTTTATAATTGGAGTTCACGTCTAAGAAGTTGCATTGAGTACTTATAACTTATATAACAATGCTACGCTAATTCTCTCTTCTCGTATTAGTTCTATTCTGTGCCCATTAAAAACATCCAGCGGAAAAGGCAGTTTTCCAAGATGACAATGACGGTTGAAGTATGGGAGGCTCTCTGCACAGGGCTGCTTTCCCCTACAGCACATGACCTTCCCTGAAGCCTTGAGGGTATTGACGCCTCTTGGGCATTGGCAATAATAATACAGTCAATGACTCGAGCTAAATTAAAATCCAGACTGTAAGCAAATCACCCAGGTGCCACAGGATTGGGCCCTTCTGTCCTTTACTCGAAAGCTGCAGCAGATCCCTGGTAGCTTGTGGAGTTGGCCTGTGAAGTCTCCCATGACCATACCTGTAGTTTGCAGCTAATGCTGCTTAAAAGCTTCAGTGTTTACCTGCAAGCCTGCTGCCATCTATGGAGAACTCTTCAGGCACTCAAAAAATATAGAAGAGGGGTAAGAAGAGTTTTTACTCGTCATATGCTCAGTAGCAGTACCATATTATGTATGCTAGGGGATAGTAGGATAGAAGCAGCCTAAGATTTGCTCCTCTATTTTCTTAAATTCTTGCTCTGGAGGCAAAATACACATAGCAAAACCATAGAAATAATGGTAGTATGTGAGTTCATGTGTTGATAAGGTGTGGATGATATGAGAGATCTTGAAAATTCATAGAAAATTTGTATCATGAAAGACTATACACAGATTTCAAATATTTTTGCACTAGAACAGATTTTTCTGGGCTGGGTGTTGTGGCACAGTAGGTTAAGTGTGCTTTATTGTGCCTGGTTCAAGTCCCAACTACTGTCAGCCTCTGTTACTGCTTTCTGCTAAGATGCCTGGGAGGCAGCAGATGCTAGCTCAAGTATCTAGGTCCCAACTCCCCACATGAGAAACCCAGCTGGAGTTCCGAGCTCTTGCCTTGAGTCTAACCTCCCTCCAGCTTTTGCAAGCATTTGACGGGTGAAAACTGGCAGATGGAAGATGTCTGCGTCCCTCTCTGTGCCATTCTGCCTTTCAAATAAACTTAAAAAAAAAAAAGATTTGTTTATTTACTTGAAAGCCAGAATTCTGAAGTGGGGCAGGAGAGAGGAGAGGGGGAGACACAAAGAGGGATCTTCATTTGTTGATTCGCTCTGCAGATGGGCTGGTCCAAAGCCAGGGGCCAGGAGCTCCCTGCCTGTTCTCCCACACAAAGCGCGGGCCTCAAGGCTTTGGGCACAAACAGGGAGCTGGGGGAAATGGAGCAGCTGGGACACGAACCCGGCACCCATGTAAGATGCTGGCACAGGCAAGGAGAGGATTTAGCCACTAGACTATCATGTCAGGCTCTCCATTCTTTTTTTTTTTTTTTAACTATCTTTTAATTCTATTTTCCATGAGCTTTTTGAAGTACTCTCTTATAATTATAAAGCTTAACTAGATTCAGTGACACTTTAATGAGTTCTGATTCCAAAATGTACTTTCTTGAGTTGGCGGGTTTAGGAAGCACTAACTTTGAAAGATGCCTCTGGGTCAGTGGAGAGCTGTGTGAGGGTGTCGTTTGTCTTGTGTGTGGCAGTAGGTCAAAGTCAAGAACTGCTAATAGAGGGTCAGGGCATACACACAAGATGCAGAATATGACCGTTCCTGGAAAGCAAGACATCTGTTTAAGAAGTATTTAATTAGTCAATCATATCTGGTGAAGAAGAAGCAACAATAAGGATTGAACCTGTGCCAGGAAAGTGTTTTTAAATGTGTGAAATCCAGCTATTTGTATTGAGAACACAAAATCCACATCACAACATTAAAAAAAAAAAAAAAGAAGGTAGGAATACCAAGCTCAGCCAAGGCGTTAATTACAAGGGCGTTAAGCTTTGACACAGAGCGTCACCAGCCTCCAGGCCCGAGTCGGGACCTTTTCTGGGCAGCGTACAAGGTGGGGTAGCAGTAACTTGTGCTTGTAACACCTTTGACTTCGAAATGTAGAGATGAACCATTACGGATGAGTTTCTATGGTAACACCTTAAGACTGTCATAAATTCACATGTGTGAAAAGAAGAAATAAGAGGTGTAAAAAACCTTTAGAATATTTTTAATACACCTATGAATAAGAATTGAGTCATCTACATGCCCTGGAAACTTAAAGTGGATAACTTTAGAAATTATTTTCCTACAAAGCTTTGTACTAAGAGGAAGTGTGGGAAATGTAGTTGTATCTGAAAAACTCAGCAAATGTCCCTTTCTGAGGAGTGCGCACGTGAAGACCAGGGAGCCGCAGCGGCCCAAACCTTCTCTGTCCGCACGGCCGGTACACTTGTGTCTAGGCACGTGTGGCATTTGAAATATGGTTAATGCAAATCAGGAAATGGATTTTAATTAAAGTTTTATTTAAATTTAAACTAGAAGGGCGGACTTTAGCTGTTTTCACTATAAATATGTTAAATGCGTGAAAGAATAGATATGTTGACCTGATTGAATATTGCACAATGTATACATGCACTAAATCACACAGCACCTCATGAATATGTGTAATTGGGCCCGGCGGCGTGGCCTAGTGGCTAAAGTCCTCGCCTTGAACGCGCCGGGATCCCATATGGGCACCGGTTCTGGTCCCTGTGGCTCCACTTCCCATCCAGCCCCCTGCTTGTGGCCTGGGAAAGCAGTAGAGGATGGCCCAAAGCCTTGGAACCCTGCACCCGCATGGGAGACCCTGAAGAAGTTCCTGTCTCCTGGCTTTGTATTAGCGCAGCACCAGCTGTTGCGCTCACTTGGGGAATGAATCATCAATTGGAAGATCTTCCTCTCTGTCTCTCCTCCTCTCTGTATATCTGACTTTGCAATAAAAATAAATAAATCTTTTAAAAGAGAGAAGAAAGCAAATTTAGGTAACCTTTCTGTGCCTAGCATATTGCTAAGGCAAAATAATATAAAATCAAAGTGTATAGTAGCAAACCTGTCATTTCGGGCAGTGAATGCTTTAACTAAATGTTTCATGTTCAGGATTCGTTTGCTTTTCTGGCTTTTTAATTTTGTTGTTGTTTTGTTTTTGTTTTTTGCCTTTTGCCTTGTTCTAGGTAAAGCCATTACCACTCTTCAGTTAATTTTAAAAAATATCTCTTCTACTGTAAAAAGTTCCAAATCATAAAGCTGACCCCCAAAGTGCAAGTTTTAACTTTTTTCCTTAAGTGTAGCCTCAGCATACAGGTGTTCACTTATTCAAATTGTGTTGGAATGTATTAATGTCTGCCTCTTCTTTTGAAAGGCATGAACAAGTAAAAGAGGGCTGATAGATGGACAGATGTGGGATAAAGGACAGCGTACAAAAGTTCAAGGAAAATGGAATTAAAGTTTATTTTGGTGCAAATGATTTTTGAAATTCTTACATATTGAGAGGTCCTTACAAAGTTTGTGGCAGTGCATATTACAAAATAACTATGCATGGATTTCAAAACATTTTGCACTAAAATAATTTCAATTCTGTTCTCCACCAGCCTTTGAAGTATTGTCGCGGCTGAGTGTTCGTTGCATGATTCTTCCAAAGCTCTTGAAAGCCGCATAATAAAACGTGCAGGCATGTTGTTAATGTCACAAAATGTTATTTTCTATATTAAAGTGTTTTCAAACTTCTGATGTCAAATGTAAGCATGCTAAATATTTTAAAGTGTGTTTTTCCTCAGTTCTGTCACTTCTCTGTCAAATAGAGCCAAGGCGCCATAACTGAACGTTTAAGAAGTTTCAGTATGCATGACTTAACAGCCATCCAAGGAGATGAGCCTGTGGGCCAGAGACCATACCAGCCTCTGCCGGAAGGGAAGAAGAAGAGTAAAGCAGGCCCTGGCGAGTCAGCAGGTGAGCTCATTCATAACTGAGCTTGGGGAACTGGATGGATGCTAAAGCTGCAATAGCGTGACTGGGCCAGGCTGAAAACACTCCATCTGGATCTCACACATTGTCACAGTGGCCCAAGCACTCGGGGCGTCTTCTGCTGCTTTTTGAGGCACATTAGCAGACAGCTGGTTCAGAAATTGAGCAGCTGGAAACCCATGCTCAAATGGGATGCCAGTATCCCAGGAAGCAGGTTAACGCATTGCCCCACACCACTCTCCCTTGTTCTTTAAATAACGTTGAGTACTTGGCTTTTGCTAGACATGGCGAACATCCAGCTAAAGCATTAACAGTAGACTCTTGTGTTGCTACGAATCGTTGGGCACAGTGGCGTGGTCACCACCACTTCCTTACCAACAGCCTTGGTGCAGACCACTTTCTACACAAACTGTGTACTGACACCCAAGCAGAGTTACAGTTAAAATATCCTCTACTGTAAGTGCTACGAATAAATAAGAATGTTTTCTCACAAGATAAAAAGTCTGAGGCAGATGATGAAAAATGACTCAATTTGGAACTAGGATTACTCCAGTGGAATCTATTGAAATATTTTACTTCAAGAGCTAACTTGTTGGCATATTCTGTATGAATTATGAGTTTGTCGTAGTTGCTATATACTAAAACTTTGGTAAACTGTTATGGTCTTAGAAACATACACACTAATAAGACAGTTTCTTAGTCATTTTATCGCACTTAAGAAAGTTTTACTTCGGCCCTGCATCATGGCCTGGTGGCTAGGATCCTCGCCTTGCACACGTCCTGGGATCCCATGTGGCTGCTGGTTTTAATCCAGGTGGCCCCACTTGTGGCCTGGGAGAGCAGTGGAGGATGGCCCAAAGCCTTAGGACCCTTCACCCATGTGGGAGACCTGGAGGAGGCTCTGGGGGTCCTGGCTTTGGATCTGCTCAGCTCCTGCCATTGCAGCCACTTGGGGAGTGAACCAGCAAATGGAGGATCTTCTTTGTCCCTCCTCCTCTCTGTATATCTGACTTTCAAATGAAAATAAATTAATCCTTTAAAAGAAAAAAGAAAATTGTACTTCACAGTAGGGGTAAGAACTAAGATCTTTAGGATGCTTCTTATGGAAGAAAGGACAGGGTTAAAGAATAGAAGTTTTGGGGGAGTTGGAGGAGGGAGGGAAGCATGGTTATCTTAGGATTTTATCTCTGAAATCTGTTTATGCTGATAAAAATATTAAAGCATTATGCAATGGATTTTTTAAAATAGTAGTTTTGAGGTAAATGGGAAGCCATCTTTATAGTTGAAAGTAACTTGAAAGATAAAATAAATCTTTCCTTATAATGAAAAAATGATGAACTTTTCTTCCAAGTTCCCCTGTGAATTAGTACCTTGATAACATATTGACTGTTATCTAAAAGGAAGTAATTCACCACTAACTGAGCTAGTAATGCCTTTAAGAAGGAGAAACTACTGAACTTAGAATTGAATTGTAAGTCTTACTAATGCATTAATAATTCCAAAAATAGTCTAATGTGGGCATTTCTTACTATGCACCTAAAATTAGATATTGATTTTAACTACAGGATCTGTTGTATATGTTATAGTTTACTGGATTAGACAAGCTATTGGACTCCTTTATCAGTTGCCTGCTCCTAATGATAACTCTAGAACTGGTTATGAATTGTATTTCAGTTATCTAAGCGAAAAGAGTATTATGACTATGAAAGCTCATATTATTTAATGCTATTTATCCTTTAAATTGCTACAACTAAGATATATTAAGATCTTGAGGTGCTGCTTAGGTCTTTCTTAAATTTCAAGCCATAAAGTAAAAATAACTTAAGATTTATAAAGATATAGAGCAAGATACATCAGTACAAGAAAATCATAAAATGAAAATTATAATATGCATTACTTTGGTCAAGTTCCAAGTTCTCTACAGAATGGGTTATATTCTGAACTTTGCTTCCCAAAGGACAGAAATTTTTTCCCAAACTTTATCTTATGACAATTTTAGGCTTAAAAAAGGATTCATTTATTTAGAAAGTCAGATTTACAGAGAGAGGAGAGACAAAGATCTTCCATCCACTGGTTCATTCCCAAAGTGCCACAATGGCCAGAGCTGAGCTGAGCCAATCCAAAGCCAGAAGCCAGGAGCTTCTTCCAGGCCTGTCAAGCAGGTGCAGTCCCAAAGCTTTGGGTCACGCTCTACTGCTTTCCCAGGCCACAAGCAGGGAGCTGGGTGGGAAATGGAGCAGCTGGGATACAAACTTACAAACAAATGGGATCCCAGCACATGTAAAAGGAAGAATTTTGCCACTAGGTTACCACGCCAGGCCCTCCTTTTTTTCTTTTTTCAAGATACTTTCATTTTAAAGGTAGAGTTGCAGAAAGGGAGAAACAGAAAAAAAGAGATCTTCTCTCCAGATGGTTAATAAGGTGGTATGGTTTTAAGAGTGGAACAGGTAAAGTGAAGATAATCATAGTTAAGATAGCTTCAAGTCCAGGTATTTTCTACATGAGAAAGAGGACCTTTCAATTAGTCGGAAAAAGGCAGATTACTTAGTAAGTTAGAGGACTGATAAGGCCTTGACCTTAAACCTTTGATCAGAACAAATTCCTAATTGATTTAATGTGACTAAACCATGGAGCAGGAAACTCATGTGTATATTTTTATAGTTTCCAGATATAAACCCTCTTTAAGCATAACATCAGAATGACAAAACATAGCAAGATAAAAAAAAACACTTTAAGTTTCTACATCAAAAATATATTTATAAACTTAACATATTGGGGAAAAGCACACCAAAAATAATCTTTGAAAAGGATAAACTACAAACCATACTACATTCATGTTAGAAGCAAAGTGTTCTGACTTCCCACAGTCCAGAAATCCTTAGAAACGAGCTGTTATCAGAATACAACCAAACAAGAAATACCTGAAAAATTGCAGCCTCAGGTAGTACAAAAAAAAAAAAATGAATAGCAGTGATGGTAATTTTTGCTTACCATCTAAGTAAAAAAAAAAAAAAAAAGCTTATTTTGCTTGGGTTTTCTCTGTTGGAGACTGTGAAGTTATTTGTCGCTGCATAACAAAACACCTCAACACAGCAGCTTAAGACAGTCAGGGTCTTTTATTTTGTTTATGCGTCTGGGGTTGACTGGCCTCCACAAAGCAGTTCTTGTGTGGGTTCTTAGCAGCTGTGGTTGGAGAGCAGCTGGGGCTGGAATCTCAGAGCAGAGCTCACAAGTCTGGGGTCCAACAGCTGGTGGCTGCAGTGGCTGGAGCAGGCCTATCTGCCGCTGTCTCTCAGAGCTGTTTGGACTGTTTTTAGTAGCAGAGTCCCAGGAGAAACTGGCAGAGGTCCTGCAGTGTCACTTTCACCACATCGCCGTAGCAATTTGTTGAGACAGGTACAGAGTCTGACATTTAAGGGAAAGAAAGAAGAGTGCAAGGGAATGCATGGACATGTTTTAACACCACTGCAGCAAGCCTGTCGGGACACATGCTCTCAGGCTCTTGCAGTTCATTGGGGTAATCCTTGGGAGTGATAATCTGGCAGTGTTCATCAACATTTCTTCCCTTTAAGTTTCCAAGGAACTTCTAGGAATGTATCATGGGGAAACAGTCAGTGTTCAAAGATTATGTACCTGGTCATTCAATTTGCTTGTAGTAACAAACGTTGACACAAATCAAATGTCCAGGATAAACCAGTAAGCGAAAAGATGGTTTATTTGATGTAGAAAATGAAAACCAGCAAACAGCATGATGTGTTGTTATCCAGTATTGTGGAAACCCAGTCTAATGAGAGCAAAATTATCTTGTGTACACACACGTAAGATCTGGAAGGATATTGCTAACATGTTCACAAATGTCTGGCTCTTAGAAGTTGGATTTTTATTCTTTTTGAAGTATTGTAGGAGTAGGTGTTTTGCACAGCAGTTACGGTCATCATTTGGAATATGGGCATTCCAAATGGGAGTGCCTGGTTCACAGCAGCTTGCTGCTGATACACAGATATCCTTGGAGGCGTGAAGTAATACACAAATGCTTGGGTTCCACCATACACATGGAAATGTGGGTTGAGTTTTTTGTTTTTGTTTTTATTCTTTTCCAGAGAAACAGAGGGAGAAACAAAGAGAGAGATCGTTCATCCACTAATTCACTCCCCAAATGACTGCAACAGCCAGATCTTAGCCAGTCTGAAGCCAGGAGCCAGGAGCTTCTTCAGGTCTCCCGCATGGGTACAGGGACCCAGCACAATGGCTAAGTCCTTACCTTGCAAGCACTGGGACCCCATATGGGCGCTGGTTTCTATCCCAGCTGCTCTGCTTCCCATTCAGCATACTGCTTGTGGCCTGGGAAAGCAGTAGAGGATGGCCCAAAGCCTTGGAACCCTGCACCTGCGTGGGAAACCTGGAATAAGCTCCTGTTTCTCAGCTTCAGATCAGCTCACCTCCAGCCGCTGCAACCATTTGAGGAGTGAACCAGTGGATGGAAGATCTGTTTTCTCTCTGTAAATCTAATTTTCCTTTCCAATAAAAATAAATAAATCTTTTTGTGAAAAGGAAGTGGAGCAGCTGGGACTCATGCACCACAGTCCTGGTCCCCCTAGGTAGGTTCTGGAGCCCTGGTTTTGACATGACCCAGCTCAGGCTGTTGCAGACATATGGAAAGTGAACCAGTGCATGAAAAAAAAAAAATTCTCTCCTCCTCCGACCTTTCAATAATGTGAAAATAAATAATTTTAAATAGTCTGTTAACTTCAGAAATAAAATACTCTTCATTGTATGAAACTTTTAATTTTCAGTTTTAATTTATATAGAAACTGTGTACTTTAATGAAAATGTTTGTTTATTTGGCTCTCGTGTCTTACCTAGTTGCTGAATGATTGATGAGGAAGTTAAAGGTGTCAGGTCTCCCATTAAAGTCCTCCTGCAGCCCTTCTGGTCCCCAGTTCTTAGACTCCATCATTTCCTGCCTGCTGTTTTGCAGCAATCTGCCTGCCCTGCCCGGGCTCCCTGCCTTTAATCTCATCCATTTTTAATTCTTTCTCTGAAGTCCAAGAAGAATATGTTACAAGACCCAAATCGAATCGTACTGCCCTTCTGGTTAAAGCGCCGCACCGCCTCGCACCCCGCTGCTCTCTTGAAGGGGATTAGCCCCTGGCCCCTCTCCCCGCCGTCACTTGCTAGCTCTGGAGAATGATGAGTCTCTCAGGTTTTAGCTCAGTCACCACCTCCTGCAAGGTCCTGTAACCCAATCCTCTTACCCCCGCCCCTGGAGCAGGTGATGACCTTGCTGCGTGCTCCGGGAGCACCCCCTCCTCTCTTCTGCTTGCAGCATTTATTGCAGTTGGTGGAATGCTCCTTAGAGTTAGCTTCCTCCACTGGGCTGCAGGTTTCTTCAGTGAAAACTCCATCTTTTTCATCATTGTATCACAAATATTAAGCACTATGTCTTGCTATGCTGTAGAATTTTAAAAAGAACTTTTGAAATAACAAAACAATTCGTAAGTCTTCTGGAACTATAGTAAGCTGTGTGTGTATGATAATATATAATAAGCAATTGTATAATATGTAAAAATATATATTTTACAGCTGGAATTAGGAAATAATGAAATGTAAAGGCAACTATTTTGTAAAATTTCAGTTTCTGACATACAAAATGAAGGGCAATTAATACAGCAATTGGTATATAAAGCACTATGTATGAAATGTAGTTATAGGTTATATAATTGGCCTTCAAAAACTTTTTTTTTTTAATTCTTCATTTTATTAGAAAGACAGATCTTCTGTTTGCTACTTTACTCTCCAAATATTCACCAGGACCAGGCCTGGGCCAGGCCAGAGACAGGGCCCCAAAACTCAGTTTGGGCCTTCCCCATGGGTGGAGGGACCCAAGTGGTGGGGCAACAGACTGCCTCCCTGGGTGCTCATGAACAGAAGCTCAGTCAGAAGCACAGGGGACAGGGCTCAAAGCAGGCACTCTGATGTGGGCAGCAACTAAACTGCCATGCCAAACTCGGGCCCCTGAGAATATATATTTCATCACAATTGCTTCCTTTCTGATTGTTGCTTTGATTACTTATTTTGTGCTTTACCAAATTGGCATAAGGGGTACATACTACGTAAGCAATAACCATAGGGAAAAATCTAGAAAGGACAATCTAGAAAGTATTCTTTTTGTTTATCCCTCCCCCCACCCCATTGTTGGAGAAGCACAACTTTGAATTAAAAATTGGAAAATAAGAAAGAAAATGAAGACACTGCAAAATACCGAAATCTTCATTTCCATGAGACATAGCAGTTTCACTTCTCAGGCTTCCTGCATGCGTATTTTCCTTTTTCTTTAAAAATGTGTTTCTTGGAAAGACAGGGTTACAGAGAAAGGAGAGGGGAATCTTCCATCCTCTGGTTCACTGCCCACATGGCTGCAAAGGCTGAAGCTGTATTTAAAGTCATTGGTATCAGTGTCAGAGTAAGATACTTACTAGCAACTCTTGTGGCTTGCTTAATGAATCTGAAGCTCTTTGTGCCCAGGGAGAGCAGTTAGAGCGGATGTATAAACATGTATTCGGTGTATTTTTCTTTCTCGTGTATGAAGTCCATCCCTTGCCTATTCCTGAGTTTGGAAGCCTTTCTGCTTTTTCTTCCCTAAAGATTACAGTATTTATGATCCTTATCTTTATAGAAGGAGAATTTGAAACTTCACAGGGCCTTGTAGCCTCCCTTGTTTTTATAACCTACCCAGTATTGCCTGAGAGGGGCCCCTTCTCTGCTGCCTACAGGAGCCTCAGGCAGTGGAACTTGAAGTGTGGGCCCAGACCATCAGTATGAGTCAGCAGAAAGTTTACTAGAAATGTAGGTTCACATCCTCCCCCAGGCCTTCTGAATCAAACTCCAGTTGGGCCAGTTTGAGAACCTCTCTGCTTTAGCGAAGGGAGAGTTCTTGTGCCTGGGTCCCACCTCCAGGGTGCTGTCAGACTCCCTGATAACTGGCTGGACAGCCTGGATGTTTGCACAGTGGCCAATTACGGGTCACTGTAGCTCCACATAGCAACCTGGCAGCACACCCACATGTTTCTCACTTCCTGTTCTGATGCTCAACATTAATTTATCTTCATTGCCTGTGCTGTTTCTAATTACTGTCATAGGCCTCATTAGATTTTTATCTCAGCATCTGCTACAGAGCTGGGCTGCTGTCTCCATCACCTGCCCCGTGCATTTGCCCAAGAGGCAGACTAACCTGTTTGGGTCTTCACTTACTAAGTTCATCTTACCATACCTACATTTTTCAAAAAATACCACATGGCTGGGCGGGGGAGGGAGACACATACTGAATTCCTAAAAAAAGGCAAGAGTGAGAGTGATGGAGGTTGGGGTTGTTTAGAATCCCTGAAAAGGAGAGAGGGTGGGAAGAGACTGTTGGCCACACAGTCATCCTTCAACACTCTGGAGGCTCTGGTTAAGAAGTCCCGCCTCGGGCTCCCCCACTCCAGGGACACCAAAATCTGCAGATGCTCCAGTCCCTCCCAGACGTGGTACAGTGCTTGAGTATAACCCGAGCACATCCTCCTACACTCACACCATCCCCCAATTACTCCTAATACCTGTCACAGTCTAACAGCTGCAGAAATAGTTGCTATTCTCTATTGGTTGGGAAGTATTTTCCAAGGGAAAAAAATGTCTGCACACATTGTATGCAGACAGTTTTCCCCCAGACATATTCAGTCCAGGGTTGGTTGAATCCTCAGATGTGGAACTCATAGATAAAGAAAGCTCACAGGTGCTTGGGTATGACTGCACCTCTATCTATAAATTTTTTTTTAACAAGATGCACGCTTTACCTACTCAGAAATAAATGCTTTTTTAAGCATCCTGAACAATGAATGAGAAAAATAAGTATGGTCAGAGGAAGCTTCCTGGTGGGAGTGATTAACAGGCTTCATCTGGAAGAGCATGAGGGGCAAAGATTACAAAGAGAAGGGTGGCTCCAGGGAACACAGGTGTGAGGGGAGCAGTGCGCGGACGCCCACCAGGCAGAGGCTAGCCAACCGAGTGAGGAGCCAGTGCCGATTAACGTCTCCTTACCCAAACCCACTGTTTCCAACATCTTGCTTAGGCTATGGAATTCCACTGAGAGATAGAGAAGACGACACAGACGAAAAGACGGATGGGCCATATTCAGATGATGAAATGTTAACACATAAAGGGCTTCGAAGATCACAGAGCATGAAATCCGTGAAAACCATCAAAGGCCGCAAAGAGGTCAGTCCAGGGCAGGGCTGTGATCCTGATGACCGGTAGTAAGGGATTTCCCCGCTGGGTATCATTTAGGGTATAAAATGTTTTTTAAAATGAAGGATTTGGCTGGTGAGACAGCAGCAGTTTACAGGTAAAATTCTTTAAGATCAGATGGGCTTGAATACCTGGAAATGAGGAAAAGGGTAAATTCTGAGTCTCAGTACAGACAGAATGGCATTTCCCACATGCGCTTAATCACATGATTATCATGAATACCCAGTGTGAGCCTTTGCATAAACAAGAAAAGCAGCCATAAAATTAGCTGCGCAGTTTTGCTTTCAATCAGAATAAATAAACTGTACAAGTTGTTCTATAAAGGCAAATCGTCATTGTGCCTAGTAAACAGTGGAAGGCTGAACCTGGGCTCAGGTCTGTAGGATCAGTGTTCATTCACATCCTATCATGGTGGTTCTGTTAGTGGTAGTCACCAGAGCATGTGTCTCACAGGGCATCGGCCACATTCATAGAAGCAGCACTGGCTTATATGTACTTAGAGGATAACGGGTTCATTATATCAGAAAGGTTAAAAACTGCTATGATTATAAATTATTAAGTCCCACCTATTTTAAAAAGCAATCAGCTAATTCTTAATAACAATAAATTTCTTTTTGCAGATGCGGTATGGGTCACTAAAATATAAAGTGAAGAAGAGACCACAAGTGTATTTTTAGCCACCTGTACTTCGGCTAGCCCAAGACAAGTAACACTAATGAATTGACTTCATCTTCTAACATATATTCAGAATATTGAAATAATTTTTAAAATTATGTCAGTGATGGGATTGATGGGATTTACTTTTGTGAATTCAGTTTTTATTTCTTTAATAAGATCTCCAAGTACTGACTACTAAAGGTAGTTATGCAGGGTTTATTAACATATGTGTCAGAAATGATAGAAAGTCATGTTACCCGCGTGCAAGTTCATCAGTAACCTTGAGTGCCTGGGATATGAGATGAAACATGAACCCACAGTATACTTGAAGAGTCTTTTTTTATGGTTCAGGATACATCAGCCTTTGTGGTATTGTTTACCTCCATGTATATTCTATCACATGATGATAATAATTAAATTGTCTCTGACCTGGCAGTAGTATAACAAGGATATAATGTAAAATAATAAGGTTTTATATTTAGCCTTTATTATTTTTTTCTGTTTTCTAGTTTTTCTATCATCTGAAAGTTTATGAAACAAATATTTGAGAACCAGGTATACACATAGCACTTTCTTCTAACAACTTTTGCACACTTGAAAGTTTACTTATTTTACAACTGTATATGTACCTTGCATTTTATTGACACTGTCTTTCTTGTTGTATGTCATATTCTGACAGGGCACATTCATGCTTTGAATTACATCATCTCTTTTCCTGTGGGTTTCATTTGGTAGATGCATTGGATTTAATCATATAAAAATAGCTAAATTTTAACAGTTTTTAATTATGTTCCTTACAAAGGAGAACTTATTCCCAGCATTAGCCAGTTTTCCTCATTTAGTACAGTATACTTGAATTGAGCAGATTTTTGTAGATGCTGATTAGATTTTCAGCTTTAAAAAACGGCGGATCTTGCAAATAGATTCAGAGAACACTGAGATCTTTTCCAATTCATACAGTTATCCAACAGGCAGTCTACTCACAAACTTAGCACTGATACGTGCTTGCTGGCTTATAAATCTGGCATGGACTGAAATAGTTTGAATCTCCTAGTTAAGATAGATTTCTAAAGATGAATACCAGCACAAAATACCGACATTGTTAATCCTACATAGTAATTTGTTATTACAGAAAATACCATTTGGAGTTATTGAACTCTGGGGCTTTTCTTAGTTGTACCAATAACTATACATTAGGAGCCATAAGTCATTATTTATTTTGGTGATGGCTTTAAATGATTAATAACCAAATTTGTACTATGCTTATTTAATTTATACACTCTACTCAACTGTCCTACTTCTTTGTCCAAAAGAAAAACATGAGAATTGTGAATATTTTATTTCTTTCACCTCTTAAGCAATAGATCCAGGTGATAAAGTGTATGTTTGATCACCTGAAAGAGTTGATCAAGAACAAAATGTTTACTTAGAAGTCATGTTTGCATAATTTATTTGCTTTCTCTTCATACTAATCTTAAAAAATTTCTTTTTTGGGATATCTCACATTTTGGATATATTTCGTTTTCCAAACCCACAGGTTTTACATCCTTGAAGTCCTTCAATCAGAACAAACATAAGTAGCACTGTACCACTGTGTGCAGCCATGCTTCTTGTTGTACCCTAAGCAATACAACATAACAGCTGATGACACAGCACTTACGCTTTGTTAGATATTTTAAGTAATCCAGTTTAAGGCATACAGGAAACCGTGCATGGGTTAGGTGCAAATAATATGCTATTTTTCCTAAGGGACAGCTGCATACATAGTACCAGGTGAAAATTCACTCACTATTTTTCTCCTGAAGTATAACCCTCTGTAAATGTCTCTATCTACTTTACCTTGACTAATTTGTAGCCTTCTAATTCCTGGAATTTCTCTTTAATTTCTGTTCAAAACTCTTGCAGGACCATTTTATCTGTGTCACAGGTCTAGACTTCTCAATATAAACACTACAGTGTGCTTGTGTTTCCTATGCAAAGGCAATATCATCTCACATTGCCTTTCACACGGTACAAGTGACTTTATAACAGGAGTATTATCTGTGGGGGCTGCTCTGGACAGCAAATATCTTTTTCAAGTCCAATCTCAATATTAAACCTATTTTTAAATAAAACTCCTGGCTTCCTAAATTAATTCCTGTGCACTTGTAAGATGGAAGTGCTTGATCCAAGACTACAGCAGGTCCTGCCACATAATTGTGCTTCACGCCCCCTTGCTGCCTCTGACATATTCCTGTGGTGAAATCCTTACACACAGCTCACGTCGTTTTGCTCTTCTGTCATTCCTTTCTTCCACATTTTCCAGTTTTGTTCTTGACATGTATTTTAGCATACCATGTTCTTTGAATTTTGTAGGTGAAAATTATGGTTTGCTTCATTTCCGGTAGTGCAGGCCTCTGATTGTTGCTCTGCTTTCAGAGAGGGATAAATGCATCCGCAGAGCACAGTGCCTTGTTCCCCCGCCGCTGCTCCCTGGGGCAAGGGCATTAGAAGCACACAACTATTTAGGACCCTCTTTAGGTAAGCTGTTCAGTTTATCCAGACATTGTAGCTGGTGTTTAATTGTGCTATACATTTCTTCAAATTGTTATGAATATTTAATGATTTTCAGAATTTGTTTGAAAGTAAGGATTGACTTATTTAGTGACTGTGTTTTTTCCCACTCTAATATAAAAAGGAGCCAGAAATAAGTCTGTTTCTAAGTAATTTTATAAATCCATCTAGGCACTATATATTCCCTGTACACACTTTGCTATGCATGTTTGCATTTGACTAAACTCTGATACTGCCAGCATTACCAATTATAAATACTTGACTATGCTGATTGATGGAACAAAATTGAAGTGTTTTCAGGGATATTATTCCATGTGTCACCACCAAAGATTTCTACAGTATTATAAAGCATGAAAATATACCAAATTTATGAAAACCATTGGTTCAGTAAATATATTGTCTTTGTTTCTTTTGTTTCTTCTTTTTAATCTTATTAACACTGTTTGTCCAGAAAATGCTTGATATTTTATGTTGTTAAAAATATAATACTGTCTTGTCTTAATAAGTAATTTGTATTTTTTTAATTGGTATAAAATTTTCATTTTAGTATATTTGATCAGGAACATTAAGGGGTTGACATATGTTTTTCTGTATTTTTAGAAATTTTTGATGATGTTTACATAAATGAAAAGGATGCATGCCCCTGTGAATCACTGATCAGGATGGGAAGGGTCGAAGAACAGGAGAAAGTAGATGAGACCATTACTTCCAATTTTCCTTTTTCTCTTTCTTGTATCTGGGGGAACAGAAGAGAGAGAGAGAGAGAGAGGTCCATTTCCAGCATCCTAACTACATCAGTACCCGGGGATGGGAGACAGCCACTCATCCCAGGGTCCCCGTTGTGAGGCAAGTTCCAAGGGTACACTTTAAGTGATTTCAGTAGTTCTGAAATGCTACTGATTTCATTGTTCCAACGATGAGGAAATCCTTCCAAGGTCCATTGGTTGACATAATCAACTTTAGTCTATGCTCACCCACATACTTGCTGTCAACACTTGACTGGGAGAGTTGTCCAACTTGTTCTGCCCTCCATCCTCTGCCATGGTACTAGATGTCCTTTACAGGCCACAATAAATTGTGCTATCTCCATGTACATCTGAGCGTGCTGTCCTCTGCACTGTCTTTCAGCAACTGAGGAGGCAATTCTCCCCATGGTTGGAGTTCTGAGTCCAGTGGTTCAAGTTGGAGGAATCTCCAAAGAACCCTCATACAGTATAGGGTCCTGCATCCTAGCTGGAGCAACCCCCCAAATCCCTACCATGCCCACCCCCAGCAATGGTTCTGGCACATGCCTGTATGTGCAGCAGACTGGTCCAGTTCAAAAGCTGGTATCCCATTCAGCTTTTGTACACACCAGTGAGTGCTGCATCCTAGCTTAGCCAAACTGACCCCACATTTATGCCAGCAGATGCTACCACCTATCCAACCAAGCTCTCCTTCAGCCCTGGTTCCCATGCTCACTGGTGGGAGCTGCAGCACAGCTGAGGGGTGCCCACGGTTTTCATAATGGGCCCACTCCCAGCCGCACTCTTTAGTCTTAGCTTGACAGGACTTGCCCCTAGTCCCAGCACTTGCCAGCTGATGCTGCAGCAAAGCTCAACTAGCCTGCTTTTACTCTGGCTCATTCATGCACCAATGGATGCAGTCGGTTAACTCACCCCAACTCTCCCCATAAGCCAGCTCAAAATGCAGGAAAATAGGTGTTATAGCCCTATAGTCTTACCTAGAATGGTTTGCCCTGATCCCATTTCTCACGCTCACCAGTGGGAGCAGTGGCCCAGAAAGGGAGCCCTTGCAGCTCCCCTACTAGGCTTGACACATGCTCCAGGTCTTATGTCTGCTGGTACGTACCATGGCCTAGACTGGCATGGCCTGCCTCATCTCAGCATTTGCAGGTGGATGTTGCAGCCTGGCTCGACCCAGCCTGCCCTAGTCCCAGCTCATGCTGGTGGGTGTTACAGCCTTGCCCAGCCTGGACTGCCCCCAGACGTGGCCCTGTTGTGAACTGGCTGGTGTCATGGCCCAACTCAGCCTGTCTCACACCCCATCCTGGTTCTCACATCTGCCAGTGAGTGCTATAAACTGGTCTGGCCCAACCTGCCCCCAGACCTGACCCACATAAACTGTAATGTGGTCTGGTCTGAGCTGCTTGGGTCCTCAGTTCTTGCATTCACCTGCAGAGACTATGTCCTGATAGAGCAGTTGCCCAAGCTCTTTGTTCAGGTTACCACCTAGTGCCAGATCTCACAAACACCCAGGGACCCTTAATCAGCCTCAGTAGTGGCCCAGAAGAGTAGCCCTCACAGTATCCCTACCAGGCTCGCCCCACCTCCCATTTGTAGATCTTGCACACACCAGTGGGTTCTCAACACAACCTAATTTGGCCCACCTCTTGTTCTGAAAGTTACAGAAACCTTGCCCATTCTGGATCTTACTGTTGGGTGGTATAGCCCAGTCCCACCTGGCCCACCCCCAGAGGGTTCAGTGGGTTCCAGGACCTAGCCCAGCCTATCCTACACCCTACTCTTGTGTGCACCAGCAGGTGCTGGAGCCTAGCCCAGTCTGGCCCAGACTCAGTCCACACCCATGCTGAGAGATGCTGCAGCCACATCCATTCCAGTTCGCTGCCCCCATTCTGGCTCTTGAGCTCACCAATGGGAACCACTTCCCAGCTGGGGCATCCACTTAGCTCCCAGGCATGCTTCTAGCCACCAATCTTGCCAGTGCCGGTGGTTGCTTTGATCCAGACTGGCAAAGGACATTCCTCATTTTGTCTTTGCTATCACATGCTACAGCCTGGCCTGGCCCAGCCAGCCCCCTGTCCCAACTGTCGCTGGTGCGGGTGTTACAGTCTGGCCGTGCTCAGTCTGCTTCCATCCCCAGATTTCATGCAAACCAGTAGGTATGATAGCCTAGCCTGGCATGGCCTATACTCCTTCCTGGCTCCTGCACATGCCAGTGTGCTAAGGTTTGGCCTGACTCTGCCCAATCTGCTTCCCAGAGCCAACCCACATACTTGCTGTCAAGTGAAGCAGCCCTGCCAGGCCTAACATCCAGGCCTAAAGCTCACCAGTAGGAGCTATGACCCACCAGGGGAGTTCCCCAAGTTCCTCCATCAAGCCCACTCTCAGACCTAGTTCTCATGCGTGCCTGTGGGTACTGGGCCTTTACAACTAAAATCCAAGCTCTTAAGCAAACCAGCAGGCATTGCAGTCCCACAGGGTTGTGCTCATATTATCTACCACAGAATCTGCCCCTACACCCGGTCCTCTCACATGCTTACTAGTGTCATGGCCCAGCCAAACTTTACCTCTCTGTTCCAACACTCACTGGCAGGTACTGTGGTCTGACCCTGCCAGGTACCCTCCTCACCGCATCCTTGCTTTTTTGTGTAGTGGTTGATGCTAACTAGCTCAGCTCAGATCTCCCACATGGGCGGGTGAACTGGTCTGACCCAGAAAGGTCCTCCAATTTCCCTTCTGTCAACCGCTCAGTCTCAGACCCCTACTTTCCTGCCAGTACAGGGGCCTTGTCGGTGGAAGTCCCCCAGAAATCATTCCTCACCTGCAACATACTCCCTCAGTGGTCTCTCCTTCACATCCCATGTGCCTCTTCCCTGCACAATCCATTGCCTGCTTGCGCATAAGTGCATGAGCTCCCCAGCAGGGTCCTCTGGCAGGTGGCATGCTGACCAAAACCCTACCCACCCAGAACTCCAGCACATACATGAATCCCCAGAGTGTTCTGTCCACTCTCACCATGCCAGCATGCTAGTCTGAGGTCCGCCACTTCCCCCCTTTCCTCCCTTCACCACTAGCTCCACCCCTGCTCCCCCGCCCAGAACAGAAGCACATGACGCAGTCCCCAGGCCTGCTCTGCTGGCCCTCAGACTGTTCTCAGTTATTACATTTGGCTATCATGGAGATCACAAAATATTTTAAAACTAACAGAGAAATGCTTTTTGTTGTTGTTTTAAGATTGGCTTATTTGGAAATCAGAGTGGTCAGTCTTCCATCCCCTGGTTTTGCTCCCCAAGTGACCACAAACCCTTGCAAAGCAAGCCGCCCGTGCAGGCAGCAGAAAGGCAAGAAGCCAGTTAATGTGTCTGTTTAAAATCAGATTGCTGTATTTTCTCCTCTGATACATTTGTAAAACAGGTAAATTCCAAGATCATGATTTTCCTGGTATGCACTATAAATTTCTTAACAAACATTATTTAAGATTAAAGCTTTCTGAACGAAAGTACAGCTTTTTTTCCCCATAAATGTTTTTAAGGTTTAACCCCTTAGTGGTATCATGCAAATTAAATATTAATTCTTTTAAACATTGACCAAGATTTAACATTTTCTAATACCTTTTCAATCTATATAGTTTAATAGTTAAATAATGTAACAGAATTTTAATCTCTTTGTAAAGGCTATTTAAGCTCAGTATGTAATTTTACAAACTTTTTAAAAATTGTAATGTAAAATAAACTCATTTTATTACTGGCAATTTGTACTTTTTTCCTATCAGACTACATATGTTAGCTTTGATGAATTGGTATTATTTATTATTAAGGACTTTTGACTAAATAATAGGCCATATATGTACACACATAAAATTGTAAGCCACAGAGCAAATAAAAAAAAATCAGATGCATTCTGAAATGCTCATTTATGGGACATTACAAAAGACACATTGAGTGGTTTACATCTGCATGTTAGAAGGGAAAACAGGAAAAACAATGAGCCCTGAAGCCCTAGCCATCGCTTGGGACTGATCTGAGCTGTCTCCGGCATAAAATGTAACACCAAATGCAGATTTATGTATCCTGGAAATGTTCTGGGCTTCCATCTGTTTTAAAGTTAGACGTCTGTCTGCCTCACATTTAAGCTTTAGAGAGAAGTCATGTGTTTTAGGAAAGTTTCTTTGTGTTATTTCATTTTGCAATCTACTGTGTGTGAAAGTATTTCCAAATAGCATTCTCGATGCAGTTACATTTTTACTCCCAGGTGTTTCCTTGTGATGATTGCAAGAATACAAGGACTATGAGCAGCAGCGTTTCTTTTAACTGGTTCACTATTTGAAAGAGATTCATGGAACAGAAGTCATGTCGGAGGTAGATTCATTGCTCCCTGGAAGACATCCTGCCCTTTCACTCACCCATCAACATTCTATCCTTGAAACAGGCTCCTTATGCTCTGAGGTTAGGAATGTTTTTAAATTGCTGATAATGCTTAGAATTGAACATGTGAAGCACAGGAATGATAATTGTCTAAGTGTAGATTACTACAGGAGTGTGTTCAACAAAAGCAGGAAAATCTGAATTCATAAAAGGGAAAGCACGGCCTGTGAGCATGCATCTCTCAGATATTCATTGTCTGCTTTT